AGCCCAGGAATGCTCTCACCCCTACCACCTGCATGTGGAGGATGTCACTAGCATGCCAGTAGGCAAGTCAGACGATAATCCTCAACCGACCACAACGTTGGGGCCTGGCAACTTCTGACTGGCAAGTCCCATTCCGGGCTGTAATCCACCAAGCCTCTGGCAGTATCCAGCTCTGCTCTTCACATTTTCAGCCTAGGGAGGAGGTCCCCTTCAGGTAAGAGAAGTGGCAGAGGGTTTTTGGAATTCTAGGCTCTGGTGACTGATGGCTGGTCCAGGGCCCATAGCTGGTGTCTGGCCTTATTTTAGACGGCTTCTCATTTTTCCTCCAAATTAGACTGAACTGCCAGTCTTGCTTGAAGAAGTCATCCACTGGGTTTATTAGATGCTTTTCTAAGGTAGGGCTGTGCGTGGCCCAGCACTTTTGGTGTATGTAAGACAAAACCAGAGCATCTCAGAATCTCCAGTTCTCAAGGTATGTACCAGAGGATAAAAGGCGGCCAAAAACAAAAAGAAAGGGTGCTCTCGTTGGACATGTGCCTGGGTCGGTTTAGATAGGTCAGAACATTTGGCTTGCGGCCAGTCTTTCTGTGCTGGCTTTAACAGAGTGCTTTCAGCAAACCCTGGCAGTGAAGCCCAGCCATTTCTTAGAATGGACCTTGCTGTTTCAGGAAACAACACTTGCTAAAGATGTGGCAGAGAAAGTTTCTTTCTCTTTATCTCTCTCTTCTTTTCCTCTTTCGTCTGTCTCTCTCTCTCTCTCTCTCTCTCTCTCTCTCTCTCTGATGAAACTTTCAGAAGGCTCCTGACTTGGAAACAATATCTTCATCCTAGAGGGCACATTGCGTGTATTAGCTAAATTGTCAAAGTGTACACAAGCCACCATGGGTCCCCATCCTGAGTCTTCCAGAGAAGTCAGCTCTGGTCTATGAATCCAGACTTTTTCCCTTTCCCCTTAGAACTAGCAGCTACCTTGTTGCCTCACAAAAACAGACCATGACCTCTCCCCTCTCACGTGACCTCCCCAGGACTCCATAGCAACATCTTACCATGACCCAGCACATCACAGCACTTGCGGAGAAAGCCTTGCTTGATGCCGTTCACTGCCAGTATTAACTCTTGGGCTCCCTGGGTGTGTGGAGTCATTAGAATAAAAAGTATCTCAACATACAGCACCATGGCCACAGGCTGTGGCTGGAGTCTAACAGTTGTGTTCTGTGGTCATTCTGTCAGTTATGGGTGAACCTCAAACAGTTGAGAATTGAGACTGTTCTAGTTACATCTCCAGTAACTAGGATGTTTCTCTTTCCCTCATGAGACTGCAGAAGAAAGCTGGCAAGTGTTCAAGAACAGACCATCTCATGAGATTTCCTGTACTTCCTGCTGCTGTTGCTGCTGCTGCTGCTCAGCCACGTGTCCCCTAGAAAGGCTTTCTCATGACAGGTCAGCATTTCTGCTGCCAGTTGTGGCAAAAGCCAGATGTGAGGAGAAGTACGAAAAACAAAATAGTGAAGAAGATTTATACCCTTCCCCCATCTTTTTTTATTCCGAGGGGAGGGTGTAGGGGAAACAGGTGATAACTTGAAAAATGTACATGTATGGGACTCCTGGGCAGCTCAATCAGTTAAACATCCAACTCTTAATTTCAGGGTCATGAGATCAAGCCCTGCCTTGGGCTCTGAGCTGTGGGTATAGAGTCTTCTTAAGATTCTCTCTGGCTCTCCCTTTGCCCCTCCCCCACTGCTTACAAGCACACACACACACTCTCTCTCTCTCTCTCTCAAAAAAAATGTACATTTAGGCTTATAGAAAATCTGAAAAGAAGCCTCACAGTATGCTGAAAGTGGCACCTGCCTTGTAGAATTAGTCACTTGGGTGTGTAGCTCCTTGATCAGACATTTAAGAGGTAGAGTATTGCACCAGTCAAGAGCTAATATCCAAGTTCTTTCCCTGATTTCTGCCAGCCCCTCCTTCACGAAGCCCTGGGCAGTTCATTGAGTATGATTGTCTTTTATTCCCAAGGGAATCACCAAGTTTAGGGCAGTAGGCAACAATGACAGGCTGTGATCACCACAGGCAGATGACCCCAATCACCTTAGAGGGATAAGATCATCATGTGCAATGGTGTATTCTAATGCCCAGGAAAGTGCCTGGAACCTAAAAGGCACTAAATAAATAAGTTTGGAATTAAAAAAAAAAAGAAAAAAAAAAGGGATCCCTGGGTGGCACAATGGTTTAGCGCCTGCCTTTGGCCCAGGGCGCGATCCTGGAAACCCGGGATCGAATCCCACGTCGGGCTCCCGGTGCATGGAGCCTGCTTCTCCCTCTGCCTATGTCTCTGCCTCTCTCTCTCTCTGTGTGTGTGTGACTATCATAAATAAATAAAAAATTAAAAATAAATAAATAAATAAATAAGTTTGGAGTGAGTGAATGGAGACAATTTGGCTCAGGTTAACATAGAAAAGGATAGTCATTTTAAAATAAAACAGGTATGCTATTTTACTGCCTGTAAAATGATTTCTGGCCTTCCTCTTTGTTCACTATACTTGAAAGAACTCATAGTGAATTTCCTGTGACCTACCCCAATCACACACCACTCCAAGTACTTACTATCTCTCTCTCTCACTCCCTCTTTTCTTTTTTTTTTTCTTAGATGACAGTTTGGACAAGGAATAACAGGGTGGTTACCACCATATGGTAAGGCCCTGGCCTGTGTATCTTCTTGAAACCTCAAGTTCTTGTTCAGCCAAGGGCTAGAGATGACAAAGGGACTATGGTAAGCCTTAGTGGGCTTTGCCACACCTAGACTAACACTGAGCCTAGGGCCTATCTAGATCACAACACCCAGAGATGCTCGCAGCAGTTCTACATAACTTTTGAAGGAAATTCCTGAGACTTCCAGGGGTTTTTTTGGTACTTGACTCTAGTGCATTTGTGGATTTAACTTACATTTCTCTGGAATTTTAAGATGGAAACTGGAGGGTATTATGCTGAGTGAAATAAGTCAATCGGAGAAGGACAAACATTATATGGTCTCATTCATTTGGGGAATATAAAAAATAGTGAAAGGGAATAGAGGGGAAGGGAGAAGAAATGGGTAGGAAATATCAGAAAGGGAGACAGAACATGGAAGACTCCTAACTCTGGGAAACGAACTAGGGGTGGTAGAAGGGGAAGAGGGCAAGGGGTGGGGGTGACTGGGTGGTGGGCACTGAGGGGGGCACTTGACAGGATGAGCCCTGGGTGTTATTCTATATGTTGGCAAATTGAACACCAATAAAAAATAAATTTATTATTAAAAAAAGAATGGTCAGTGGCTTCTTAGATATCTGGGATTTGGAGTACATTCCTTATTTTTATCTGAACCCATCATGTGCTTTTTAAGGTGACCTAGGTACAAACACCTGGTGGCATTCCTCCTTTTTTTCTACTTTTCTTCCTAGAATGGTGGCTACTAAGAACAGTCTTCAGGTTCCATAAATATTTATTGAGCACCTATTCTGTGCAAGGTCTCCTTTAAGGATGTTGGGAAACAGGTAGTTTTCTGTCTCTTATAAAAGGCCTAACAGTAAGAAAAAATAATGAATACAAAGCAAACATGTAAAACTTCACTAGAGGCAAAAGTAAAATGCTGAAAAAGTTCAGGGAGCAGAAAATTGTATCCAGTTGGGGAAAATTGGGAAACATGTCATTAATCCTGCATATAATTTTAAATAGTAGATATAGAAAGAAAGTATATCTGGTAAAAAGTACAAGACGAATAATCATTTGTGGTTGGAAATTTTAGTTATGTTTTGAAAATAGCAAGGAAACAGTCAGCCTAGTGTATATGAACACATGTAAAGGAGCCATGACAGACGAGACTAGAAAAAGCATCTGTAATAACTTTGGGAAGAACAACGAATGGGGGAGATGAGTTTGAAGTCAATGTGTTTGAGTTTAAATCCATAGATATAGGGAGTCATGGAAGGTTTTTGAGTAAGGGATTCTTTTAGGAAGAATTTGGCTTAGAGGGAGTTGAGGCCAGAGGTGGAGAAAAACACTAAGCATTGACACCAATGGGCTTGGAGAACAGGAAGGAAACATGGAGTAAGACAGTGTGATCATGGAAAGCAGGACCTAGATTCAAGGGCAAGAATAGATGGAACTTAGTGACCAGGGGGGTTGAGGAAAAGGGGCACCAAGAATGATTGAAGAACTGAAATCCATACCAAGAAAAGTGGTAGAAACCACAAACATGGGCCAGGGGAAGATCAAGAAGAGGAAACAGTCTGAAGAGCCCCATTCTTGCTTCCTGTTCCTGTGCTCCACCCCATCTGGGCAGCCATCTTGAGGCCAGCTGCCCGGGAGGTCCAGACTCTCAGGAGAGTAAGAGCCTCTCTATGTAAGTAGCTGGAATTTTTTACTCTCCTCTTGACCGCAATACTTCAAGGAATTTTTTTATCCAACCAGACCACTTAGATCATACCTCCTGGTTCCTTAACTTCCTTAGGAAAAACCATTGAGAAACAGCTTTTCGAAGTCAACTGCCAAACGTTCCCAGTAGTATGGGCTCCCAGTAGTATTGTTCCAAGCAGTGAAAATAACCTCCTTACTAGGACTTGAATAAAGAGCTCTTAGACTTGTTAACATGCATCTCAATACTGGGATTATCCGGGTCTATATCAAAGGTAACAAAACTTTTTTTTAAACTACAGTCAATCATTACTCATTGGTTTCTGTGTTTGCAAAATTGCCTCCCTGCTAAAATATATCTGTCATTTCCAAAATCAATATACCAGCACTGTTCCAGGCATTCCCAAACACCTGCAGACTGGAAAAAAACTGGAGTTGCTAGACATACATGTTCCCAGTTAAGGTTGAATTAGGCAATACTCTGTCATGTTGCTTCAACTCTTCTACACCAAGCAAGTGTCTTTTTTGCAGTTTTTATAGTGATCACATTTTTCACATTTTTATCCTTCTTGTCAATGATTTCAGTTTAAATGATCTCCAAGCATTAATCCTTTTTTTTAAGACTTTATTTATTTATTCATGAGAGATACAGAGAGAGACAGAGAAACAGACACAAGCAGAGGGAGAAGCAGGCTCCATGCTCCATGATGTGGGACTCGATCCCGGGACTCCAGGATCACATCCTGGGCCGAAGGCAGGTGCTAAACCACTGAGCCACTCAGGGATCCCCCTGATCTCCAAGCATAATCCCGAAGTGCTGTCTGGTATCTTAAGCATAAGAAGATTGGGATGGGCCCTACAAAGAAAACATATATGTTAGATAAGCTTTGCTCAGGCATGAGTTCTGCTGCTGTTAGCCATGAATTCTACATAAATGAATCAGCAATATATACTAAATCAGGTGTTTTTAAGCAGAAACACACAAAACAGGAATGTGTATTGATTGGTTGATAAGAATGTTGTGACCAGAGGTTCTACAACCTCATCCTGTATATCTCCCCTGGAGCAATGGTTCATATTCCTCAATTCAGTGTTTGTGACTTTATAGAACAAAAATGCTGCAAACCCATACCCACATGTGAAAACCCAAGGAGCCAGAAATCATAGGTAGAGGAGCCAGCCTCTAAGATCAACTGGATAAGACAAATCTATGCTGTTCTGAAGACTCCATGAAGGAGATGTCACTACCCCCGTCCCTCCACTCATGTTTATGCACTTATGTACAGTACACTCAGCTTCATCCACAAATGGATTTGAAGTGACTTACTTGAAAGATAAAATAAACCAGGATGAGGTACATAAGGAAGTGTTAGAAAGAAAAGACACACAGGATTAGGTGCAAGATGGTGCTGGGAAAGTAATATAAGCTCAGGCTCCTAGGCACTTACTAAAGGTCACAGATCTGGCCCTGAGCTTTTGAGCAGCAGAGGAGAAAGTGATTGCAATGAGTTCAGATATCCAATTCATGGGATCCAGAAGATGAATATGGCTGAGCAACCCAAATGTGTTTCTAAGCTCTAGCAACTTCCCCCTCCACCTAGAAACCCTGATGCATAAGTCCTCTCCAGACCTTCAATCTCAGCAACTAGCACACTGGTTTCCACTTTGCTCCTTGAACACACTAGGGGCATGCCTGACTCAAGACCTTTGTGCAATGTGTGTGTGGTGTGTGTGTGTGTGTGTGTGTGTGTGTATTTCCCAGAATGCCCTTTGCTCAAATCGTTGCATGTTTAACTCATTCAGGCCTCAGCTCAGAGTCTCATCTTAAATAGAAGCTGCATTTGACTGTCCAATTGAAAGCTTTCTTCCTTCCCCCCATCTCCAAGGTGGTATTCTTCACTCTTTTTTTTTTTACCATCTAATCACTACACGAAAATTTTTATTTATTTAATAATTTGCTTATCATGTATTTCTCCCACTATTTAAGGTCTGTGAGCACAAGAACCTGGTTTGTACCTCCTAGGATAGAGTCTAGCACTTAGGAGGAGCCTCAGTGAATATTTGTTGAATAACTAAATAAAAAGAGGGATCCTGAGCAATGTGATGGATATATCCTTAGCAGTATTCTTGCAACAGACGCTACAAGGAGTCTCCAAGGATTCTTCATTAGGGTCAGGTCAGCTTAGAGCAGAGGACAAGGGTAACCCACCATGAATAGTTCTGTCTGTACTTCCACTCATTTCTCCTTCATCTCTGACTGCAATCTATCTTGCTGCAACCAAAGACCATTACGCCATCCTCAGTAGATTCAGATAATATTTGGCTGCCATTGTCGGCTAAAAAAGAGATTATTTTTATAGATGTGAAAAATGCCATCAATCTGGGGCTCTTTGGAAGGAATTAATAAAGAGGTGATATATTGGAACATTTTTGAAAAGAAAGTATTCATTATTACTGCATAGACACATTGACATAATTGTTAATTCAAATTAATATCTTCTGGATCTATTCAAGTTATTCAAACAAAATATTAGAGATTAACTCATAAACTGTTATGTGTAAATTTGTGTTTGCTAAAGTCACTGACTATGGTATATTCTAGTATTAATACCTATTTCATCAAATCCAAGGTAGCACTGATTTTAAGCTCATATATCCTTTAAAAAAAAATCTGGAAATTATCATTGTGAGACTCAATTCCAGGACATGGCTCAGAATCTATGAAACATGGTGAGAGTTAATATTCACTAAAGCCTGTGATTTAGGCACTGTGCTAAGCATTTTACATAAACACTCTCCGTGAAATACAAGAGGATAGATACCTTTATTATCCCTTTCTGCAGATGATGAAGCCAAGACAAGTTACCCCAGTCCACAAAGCTGATACATAGCCGAGAGCCAGAGCAAGTGCAGCATTATCTAACCTGGAGCCTGAACCCTAGCTGCTACATAAAAATAGCTTCTGTGGCCTTATTTCTTAGATCAAGCATGTGGAACCTTCTAGGGAGGCTATTTGTTCACCCAAAGAATCAATCAGCCAGTCTAGCAATACATACAAATAAAAAACAAACGGATTTTGTTTCTCCCCTCTAAAATTGAAATTTATAAAGCCCTAAACAAGTATGTTTTTTTAAACTAAGAACATAAAAATATATTCATCCCAGGAGAGACATTCCAAAAACTACTCTGAGCTGTGGCACTGATTATTAGAGCAATCTATTAAGAGAAAGGAACCCAGAGAAGACCAGGACCAATTTGCCCATAGTTCATAGTGCAAAAGCAATTTTTAGCCCCAGGTTCTCTGAATGTGAAAAATCTTTAATGGTAATATTCTCCCCAAGTGAGAGGAAACTATATGTAAAGGCAGCTAAGAATCTCTCATCTTTCTATTGCTCATAAATAGCTAAGGTAGGGATTTTTAATGTATTCCACTAATTTTTGTTTCGTAAAATTACAGTGGGCCAATTCTTGCATTGGTTCAGGGATTTCTTGATCAGGGCTGCACATCACAATCACCTGGAAACTATCTCAACCACATATAGTAGGTCCCTCCCCAAAACTATTGACTCAGTATTCCTAGGGACATGCATATTTCAAAAAATCTCTCTTCTGGATAATTCTTTTTTTAAGATTTTATTTATTTATTTTATTTATTCATGACAGACTCAGGGAGAGAGGGAGAGAGAGAGAGAGAGAGAGGCAGAGACACAGGCAGAGGGAGAAGCAGGCTCCATGCAGGAAGCCTGATGTGGGACTCGATCCCAGGTCTCTAGGATCACACCCCCGGCCAAAGGCAGCGTTAAACCACTGAGCCACTGGGGCTGCCCAGTCTTCTGGATAATTCTGATGCGAACTCCAGGTGAAGAGATCCAGTAGTAATTTTCATCAGAGCTAAATCTCTAAAGAAAGCAGTGCCTAGAGATGGTGCAGAGCTAGCAATCGAAAGACCTGACTCAACCTTTACTCATGACTTTTGATTGTGTCTGTTTATCTACCTGCAAAATTTAAAAATTATCAATAAACCTGTTGACAATGGTTCAATATATTCCCACAGTATTCTCAAAACTAAATGGTAGTCTGGCAACTACGGCACACCTGCATTCTCTCTTCTGCTTAATGACGCAGCTCTCCACTAAAAAGGACGAGTCTCGTAATCACCTATACCTGTTTCTACAGATATGCCTGGCAAAATTTAGTCCTAGTCTGCCTTTTTGACTTTATCCCAGTTGCAAGCTCCTAGACATGTGCACACACCCTCCCACACACACACACATACACACACTCACATTCACAACTTCTAATGGACTCTCATAACTCATTCAGTATAAAGACAGAAAGTCCAGGGATCCCTGGGTGGCGCAGCGGTTTGGCGCCTGCCTTTGGCCCAGGGCGCGATCCTGGAGACCCGGGATCAAATCCCACATCGGGCTCCCGGTGCATGGAGCCTGCTTCTCCCTCTGCCTGTGTCTCTGCCTCTCTCTCTCTCTCTCTGTGACTATCATAAATTAAAAAAAAAAAAAAAAAGACAGAAAGTCCATACTGAGACCTATATGACCTGCTCTTCCTCCCATAGCTCCCTGATCTCCTCTCCTGCTAATTTCCTTCTCCCTCACTTGGCACCAGCCACATTGTTACTTTGCTATTTCTAGGTAGTGCCAGGCTTCTCCTACCTCAGAACTTTGCACTTGCAGTTCTCTGTGTCAATAACACTCTTCCCCCAGAGAACCACACGGTTGTCACTCTCTCCTCTCTTCAACACTTTACCCAAAGTCCCCTTCTAGAGGGACCTTCCCTAGCTGTTATCTAAAATGTCAACCCCTACCCTGTTGTTTCACATATTTCTTGCCTGTTTTATCTTTTTTCCTTACCCCTTATTGCTATCAACGTTCCAGGTTTATTTTAGAAGGCAGAAAGAGAAAATATACCTACGAAAATGCACTAAAAACAAAAACAAGACAAAATACCCCATAAGATTTAGCATTCTGACCTATTACTAACAAAAGAGGATGAAATTCTGGCTAAAATTAGAGTAAATCTAGTAAGAACCAGGAAGAACGTGACAAAAGGATGCTCACTTAAGTGAACAAACAGGTTTTCTACTAGAATGAGGAGACATCCCTAGGTAAAAGTACAAAATCATGTTCTATAAAGGCTGTCAGGAGTAGCAAAGAAAGACCATAGAGGAAAATCACTAAGAAGAGGGCATACATAATAGAGTTCAGTAGGAAAGCCAGAGTTTAAGTAACAAAATTACCTGGAAATTTCCATATAAGAATGCAAATACCATCTTAAAGATTTTCTAGACTTAGCATATAGTGTCTGGCAACTACAACATGGCCACAGAAGCCTGTGCTTTGCAGATTTGAAAGTCCTAGCAGACATGTCAAGTCCTGGATATCCATGAACTCAAGGATTGGTTATGAGACCATTTAGGAGAATTCTAAAGACAAGGTAACAGTAGTAGCAACATGGCTGGGCTCAGAATGGTACTGTATTTACACAATATAGAAAATATGGACATGATGAGAAATCACTAGTCTCATTTTCTTCTAAAAACAGAACTTCTTTAAATTATTTTCTTGCATACAAAATTGAAGAGGCAATAAAAGAAGTGCTATCCTAGATTTACTGTTGATCAAGTAAGGAGTCATCAGGATCATAAAGATGAGAAAAATCTTAGGAAAAACAACCACGAACAGCCAAACAAGTAAATGGTGAGTATCATTTTCCCAACTTCTGGAGGGGGGCAAATTAAAGTTCAAAGCTACAGAAAGATCACTGGTCCCACAGTCAGAAATTGATTCAACAAAGTTGAACATGTGCTGTACGCTAAGCACTGCTTTATGGCTGGATTAC